GCAGTGATGAACTAATGATACGACAGGCGAACGCGGTCTGCTGTCGTTTTGGTAACGTAAAAAATTTAATTCAAAATTAAAAGGCATTTTTGTCACAAAAATAGCAAATTCAATTATTCTTCTCGTCAAGTATTTTTTTTCTTCAAAAATCGTTGTTCTTCTCATCCACATAGTTGACTGTAGTACAGAATTCTCACTTTCCTGTTTTGGAGAATCGTTGCATCCTCCTCCGTGCAGTGCAAAAATACTTCATTATTTAATTAACTGAGAACGCATTAGTAGTGTATAGAGTAGTTTCTTTTGTAACCATTCCGATTAGAGTGTGGTTTTGCTATAATTGCCCCTACTTGCAATGATTCATAAATCTCTACCCCTGGATCTTTACATTTGCCCCTGCAGGTAGTTCGACTAGTTTTGTTGTAATATGGTAGTTACTGATAGGTCTGTGATCGATTTTCATATGCTATTTCACCGTATATTCTTAGAGCAAATCTCTGCACAATCTTAAGAAATTAATTTGATCGAAAGATTGAGTAAAAAAAAAAATCTTTACATTTGAATGTCAGCACGTGTAGATAATGCCCTTAATCAATCAGGGAGAGAGAACCTTCCTTAACAATGAAATCAATACACTTCTTAATAAGAAAATCATCCAAATCTTATTTTTTTAATATTGTAATTATACTCCAATATCATCCAAATTTTCGCTACGATTTGGAAGAAAATATACAATATCATACAGGTAATTCGAAAGCTTATCCAAGATGTGACCACGAAACAGTACTTCGTCTTCTTCTCTCTTTTGGCATTTCACCTTGTTGAGTACCTTGTTACCATCTTCTTGTCACGGAGGAACGGGTGACAACACCGGATAAAGTGCATGGACTACTTTTGAAACAGTGAAGAAGAACATAAATCTTGTCTTTTCACTGATTGAAGTTTGTTTTGTTCCATCAACCCTATTGAGTTTTCGGACTTTGGATTATAATCTTAAATGCATTTTAAGTAAATTTGCATAATAATAAAAAAATTTTAAGATTGTTGATTAAAGTATTACACAAAATACAAGTTATAACTAACACAAAGTAAGAAATCTCTCATTCAACTTACGTGTTTCAATTGATTCAGTTTGTATAGATAGATCGTAGAGCTAATTGACGTAGTAGAAATTTCTGATTTCTTTGTACAAGATCATTGTTCTTATAAAAAAAAAAAAAGTTTAGTTTTGCTCAAAAAAACACATAGTAAGACAAAAGCAAATGGGGAAAGAATGATGACCTTGAGGCATGTATAAGATACTATTCTTAATGTTTTTATTGCCTCTATTGTACTCAATAGTTTTGTTTTTAAATTAAGTAATAAGAGAGGGAGAAAGTTGATAGCAAAATCAAGGCCCTATTTGGCAAAAGAGTTTTTTGCCTAGTTTTTTTAATATAAGTTTCTTAACAACTTTAGTTACAGTAATTTCAAAAAACTTTTCAAAATTTTTAAAATACAAATTTCAAAATATCAAAAATCACACAAAAAATTTCCCTTCTTTCCTTTCTTTGTCTTCCTCTTCCACCTTAATCCACCATCACCTCCGCTGCCGACCAACACCGGCCAGCACCTCTTCTCACTCTCCCACTCCCTTTCTCTCTCTCCTCGTTTATCCTCTCTCCCTCTCCCCCTCTCCCTCACCACCTCTCTCCCCCCCTTCCCATTCCCTATGACCCTCCCCCTCCCCCTCCCCCTCCCCCTCCCCTCTCCCTCTCATCCTTGTGTTTCTTGGCCATAAGTGAATGGAGATAGAGCGTCAAATTTATTAAATAGGAATAAAAAGAAAATACAAGAATAAATTATTTGATACGGTGGAGCACTATGTAATCGTGAAAAAAGATATTATTCTCCTTTTTTTTCATTTTTTAATAATTGTTGTTAACTGCTTTTTTTCTTTGGTAATTTATTCCTATGCACTAATGACTAAAGTGAAGTCAATCATGATGTTAAATGAGGGACCATCTAATGGGTGCCCTCTTTTTTTTTTTTTTTTTATAATAACAGGTGTCCGATTCCATTAACATACTTAAAATTCATCTAACGTATCATATATATACACATATTAATAATTATTACCTTTCCTTACATTTATATACACTACCTATTTAATCTTACATACCCTCCCTTGTATTTATTTGCTTTCTTTAATTAATCTTATATTTCCAAGAGTATGACATTTGAAATACATCTTAAAAATTGTTCAATGAACACCCAGATCCAAAATTAAATTAAATTAAATTATTGGTAAAGAATATTTGAAAATCAGTATCATGACAATATTTGAAGCAAGTAAATAGAAAACAAGGTGTGAGTCATTTAATGTGTAAATGAGAAATTTTTTGTTATGATGTAATCTGCAGGGGAACAATTTCTTACAAAGTACAAGATTTTGTCCCCTCTAAACGAACCAAATTTTAACCTAAAGTGGAAAATGATATCAATTATAGTAGTATGTGATTAATTTTGTGGAAATTTCTATACTCCCTTTTGAAACCACTTTCTCAATTTGTATCTCAATATCCTGATAGAGGTTTATATATTTCAAATGATTAAGGGTCTTTTGGCACCCTAGTTTTATGGGTCTTCCTATCATACAAGTTTTTTAACAATTTTATCTATAAAATCCCTTTAAAAAATTTTTTGTAATACACATTCTAAAATATTTAAAAATACACTGTCATTTCTCTTTTCTACTACCACACTTCCTTACTGGTTTCACTTTCATCGTTGTTACTTCTATCTCATCAATCTCCATCTCCACCCACCATCATCAACCTCCATTATTGTCGCTGCTGCCACCTCACCCTTCCTTTTTTTTTTCTTTCTTCCTCCCTCTTCTCCTCACTCTTTCCCTTTTTTCTACCTCTTCCTCTCCTCTTCCCCTTCTCCTCTTTCCCCTTCCCCCTGCCACCCTTTCTCTCTCACCCGAGTATACATCATTAGGTTTAGAATAGAGAGGAAAGAGGAAGGGAGTAGGACGAGATAAGGTTTGCGAGAGGAGGCGGAGGGCAAGGTCAGCGAGAAGGGTGGCGAGAAAAGAAGGAAGAAGGGGAGAAAAAATGGATGATCGGCACCAACAACGGTAGGAAGGTGGCCGCAGCAGGATGAGGCGGGAGGGTAGTGATAGAAGAGAAAGATAGTGTGTACGCTTTTAATATTTTGTGTATTTTGAAGATTTTGGGGTGTTTTTCTGATTAGTGTAGATAAAATTTGTCTAATATAAATTCCTTAAAAACACACTTCCAAATAGAAAAAATAGAAAGTTTTTAAATTTTCCAAATCCTAAATACACAAAAGTTTTTTTTTTTTTTTTTTACAAATTCTATAGTAAGTTACAATCAAATTTTATACAAACACAAAAAAAAAACACCTTTATTATCTCTTCGTCCTTAGATATTTTCTCAAATTAATTTCACATATTTATAAACTTAACACCTATGATTTCTTTTTTCCCCTTGTATGAACGTCAAATGAATAACTGTTAATTGAAAACCCTGTGGCATTAATTAAAGCCTTGCAACAGGAATGGACCGTGATTACTGTTGAAACAACCAGTAAGGAGCTGCTGAATCAACTGCAAAGGAATGCGAACAGGAACAACTGGGTGGCTACGTTGCTGGAAAATATACAAGCACTGAGTATTTTGTTTCGAATGTGCTCCTTTTGTTTGATAGGAATAGAAAATACGGATTTAAGTTACATTATTAGTACTCAAGCTTTGAGCAGAAATGTGACGACCCCACCTCCCCCTAGGGCGTACCCCAAAATTTGGCGGACCGCCTGCCCAACTCTCACCAGAACTCGATCACTCTTAACAAATAAAATAATATATAACCTCAAGAATAAGTGAAATAACAGATCCCAAACTTGGAACGTGTACTTACATTCATATCTTTCCCATACATTCATACAATCCCAAATATAACAAAAGTTGTGAATTCGAGATACATTCAACCCTAACCGAGCACTAGCGCGAGTACATTTGCAAATTTTCAAAAATTAAACTATATTAGCCTGTACCAGTCTCACACCTTACTTGTATCCCCGGTAAGAAAAACAAATGTCGTGGAATGAGTTAAAAACTTAGTGAGATTTCCAAACAAGTAATCAGATATAGAAATCAGGGAAGCGTTACATTTAATAATTTGCGTATGTGTGGGAAAGATATGAATGTAAGTACACATTCCAAGTTTGTGAACTGTTATTTCACTTATTCTTGAGGTTATATCTTATTTTATTTGTTAAGAGTGATCGAATCCTGGCGAGAATTGGACAGGCAGTCCACTAAACCCTGAAATAAGTCCTAGGGGAGGTTAGATCGTCACAAGAAATCAAGATGCAGAATGGACTTATCCAGTTCCATTGTGCTAAGTTGCACAACTTGTAAAGTATCCTTGAGTTTTTGTTTAGATTGTACATATTTTTGACATAAGCAATACAAATTATCGTTTCGAAAAAAAAAACTAAAAAACCTGTGGCCAATTGATTAGTGGAGCAGATTGGCTGAGCCCATAACCATAATCATGATCTTCCTTCTAGCAATTGACATTATGCTCCATTTTGGTCTTGTCTACTTTATTTAACATCTCCAACACCTACATTGACACACTTTCCACGCAGACACGCTTAAGCAAGTTAAGTTTCGATATAATCGAATCGAGTTTTAATATAATTTTACAAAATTTAAACTCAACGAGTTCAAAATGCCAAATTCGAACTCGAGCACGAGTTTAAAAAAATAATTATTTTTATTTTTAAAAAATAAATAAAAAAATAAATTTTTAATAAATAATAAAATATTAAAAAATTATATATATAATTTTATTATTAAAATAAAAACATTACATAATTGAGCTCAAACCAACTCGTGAACTACCGAATTTATTTTTAAATTCGAGTTCGAATTCGACTTCAGCGAGGTGGAGCTCGACTCGATCGATGCAGCGCTAGCACACGCACGACGGTCACACTAACTAGCTACGCACCTGTCGGCATGGAGGAACATACAGCCTACGTCTAACCCTTGCGCCATCTGGCTACACCAAACAACTTCAAACAGATCTTCACCATCGGACCAACCTACAATCCATCTGAATCATGATTAGCGGTCACGATCCAGTTAACCAGCGGAACTTTCAAACACTGCACACCACACAACCATTGCCTTCTGTACAGCAAAGCAACTGTTGTAGTAATTTCGAGTGACGCTGCGGGACTACTAAATATAGTAGGTGTCGCTGACGTTGATATCGATGAAGAAGAATCTGGGGATTGATAGATAGAGAGCGTGACGAGATTTCCATTTTTATTTATTTATTTTTTCGCTTTTTGCCTTTCTGGGAAATTTATAAAGCTAGCTAGCAACAAAGAAAGAGTGGTAGTAGAATTTGCGATTTGAAAAAATGGCGGAGGAAGTAGGCGTTGCTAAGGCTGTTGAACCTGCTGCACCCTTGGCAGCTGAACCGCCTCTGGCGTCGGCAGTTCCGCCTAACGACGTCGTCGAGGAGAAGGCTATTGTGAAGGCCGAAAGTGTGTAGTCTCAACACTTTTTCTATTTATTTTTCTTTCTCTGTTAAATCTTTTGTTCTTTCTTTTTTTTTTTTTTTTTTTTTTGCTTTAATGCTTGCTGATTGGATGGGCTAATGCGATGCTTGGAATATGTAAAATTTTCTAATCTTGTGCTATTTAAATTGTTGCTGTCTTTGAACGCTTGAATAGGAATAACTGGTGATGTTTATTTTTTGGTACATACATTTTCGAAGATTATTTATATATTTTAGTTTTCCACCTCAGAAAAGCTAAGCTTTGTTGCCTTTGCTTTTTTGATTGTGGTTATATTTTATCATAGGGATCTAATTCGAGAAGAGTATAACGCCATATTTTTTCTTGGCAGTGGTGGTGGTTTTTTTTTTTTTTTTTTTTGTAGAAATGGAGTATAAAGAATTAAGAATTGAAGAGGCGTTTTTAGGAAGGAAAAGTAGTATCTTTAGTTGGACTGGGAGTAATACCTCTTTTAGCGGGATATATATATATATCTATTCTGCGTGGCGCGCTAGTACTAGTTGTATTGCGAAGAGCAGCCACCTGGAAAGTTTTCGGACGTACTTGTAAGTTCTACGAGGAGTGTTCCTAGAGAATTCATGTTTAAGCCCAAGAAAGGTATTACGGTAAAAAATGATGTATTTCTCTATGCTTGCTTTCTAGTGTTTGACATGGATATCATACCATGGATGACATATTACTGTAGCTGCACATTCTGCTTCTTGTTGATTAACAGTCTCAAGGTTATGACCAGTGGTTTCTTGGTGCGTTATATCATCATCCTTTTCCTGTTCTAGAGTCGTTTGAAGTTCATTTCTTTCTGCCAAAAAAAAAAAGGGTAATTTCTTTCTGCATTATGCTCTTAAATATTCTCTAAGGAAAACCAGTAACCTGACATGGCTTGTGAAAATGATCACGAATTTTTGCTTCTTCTACAAAAATGCAGTTCCTACCAAGATGCGCATTTGTTGTATATTATGATCTTTCAGAAAGTTTTTGATTTTATTGGATACTCAGTTCCTTGACTGCCCAACTAAAATTTTATTCATAGTGACATGACTCTTTTTTTTTTCTTTTTTTTTCTTTTCTCCAGAAGCTTCAGATCCTTCAGTGCAGAAGAGCTCCAAAGGATCTGTTGACAAGGGTATGTTCCAAAAGTTCATCTAGAACTTTCTAGCACCAGTAATTACTCTAACCAAATGCTGAGATCAAAGGCTGGTGTGCTTATATTATATAGGGTGTTAATGAATTTGTCTAAAAAGCTGTTATAAGGAGGACTTCTTAATTAATTTTTTAGCTGAACATTTGATGCTATGAAAATTCCCGTGTATGATTCATGTTCCATCATGTGTAACCCTACTAAGTGAACAATCATGTTGGCGTATCCAGATGTTGCTCTTGCCGAGGTTGAAAATGAGAAAAGGTTGTCCTTTATCAAGGCATGGGAGGAAAGCGAAAAAACTAAAGCAGAAAACAAGTAAGGTTTCACCAACTTGTGTCGTTAACTTTCCATTTCCACGAGGCTGAACTTACCAATTCTTTTATTTTGGATTCTTGATCTTATAGTAAATAGCTGCGAAATTTACATGTATGCAGCTTCAATTTTCATCCTTTTACCTTTTTTTTTGTTTCATACCATCAAGGGAAAGAGTGTTGGTACATTGCATTCAAGGATGAAAATGCTGGGAAAAGCACGTCACTGGCTTCTACCCTCTAATTTGCATTGTATTTTGTTTTTGAACATGACGAAGCACTGTTCTTCTTCTGAAGAATTTTGAATGGTACTCTAACCAAACTGTTAATGTACTTAGACAATGAAAATGTTTACTTGTAGCTCTTCATCTCTTGTTTTGCTTCACCATTACTAAATAAAATTCTTGTCATTTTGTGAGGTTGTATCTACCATTTATGGCAGATGTATTTGTTGCTCAAGGATTTCAACTTCCACATCACTAGTAATTCCTTTCAAATTATTGAACAGGGCTCAAAAGAAGTTGTCTGAAGTTTCATCATGGGAAAATACCAAGAAAGCAGCTATTGAAGCTAAATTGAAGAAAATTGAGGTAAACAGGCAGCACATAAGTGGCATTCTCAAAAACTAGTGCCTTCAGCAATGAGACATTTTCAGTTGAATGTGCGGAAGTTTGGGCTCGTAAGGTGGTCCAAACAGCATTTCCATCTGCTTTATACTACTTAACTGACTTGCAACTATTTCCTCAACAATTACAACCATGCTTTGACCTCTTGGGTATCCATAATTCATGTAAACCGAAAATTGTTGTATTCGCTCCCTCCGTTCCCTTTTTTCTGAATTTGGTGGCCACTAGTGTGCTGAAGGGGGTGGATTTTGCTTCATCACATTCACGGTTATGCTGTAGTCCAGAGAATATTACTATAGAGGCAGAATAAGTGCTTTCTTCTCAAGTTACCTATTTAATTCAGCAATTGAACCAAGATAAACATTAATATTCTTCTCCCTTTTTTTTTGTCAGTTGCTAATTGTTCTGATACCTGCAGGAACAACTGGAGAAGAAAAAAGCAGATTATGGTGAAACAATTAAAAACAAGATTGCTGAGATTCACAAGCAGGCGGAAGAGAAAAAAGCCATGGTTGAAGCCAGGCGTCGTGAAGAAATCCTTCAAGCAGATGAGATGTCTGCTAAATACCGCGCAACTAATCAAGCTCCCAAACAGGTGGGGTGTTTTGGATGCTAAGCTTCTCCGGGCTTCTAATATAGCATGAAGAACAAGTTTCATTATCCTTGTAAATTTGTCTATTAGTTGTTGAACTTGCGTGTTTATGGATGCGAGGACACATGTTTTTTTTTTTTTCTTTCCCCTTTTTAAGTGGTTTGTATAGAAAAGGAGCTTAAAGCCTGTGAAAGCAAGGCTTATGTTTACGATTTCTGCTCCTCTGTAATTCTCTCAGTTCATGAACGCATTCTGCTTCTGCAAGTCTCCTCCTCGGTTGGATACTTGTATTTGCAGCAACAACTAAGATTTCCTTGCAGAATATGTGCTTTATGGTATTTCTTGCATCGACATCTAGCGGGCATTTCTGTTAATTTTTCTTGTTTGAATTTGTGGACAAGCTCTGCCTGTCCGGTGGAACCGAAGCATTTTCCAGTTTAAGGTTGTTTTCATTACTGACAACAGAGTCATTAATAAATAGATTTTAACGGTTAACACACAGAATTAGGAACTCCACCCCGCTGCCCACTAATTCCCCTCGTTCCCCTCATCTCGCTTCGCTTCTCCCGTAGGGGGCACTGGTGGAGTTAATAAAAATTTATCGTATAATTTCATTATAATCAAATTTTAGTAAATAATTGAGTATTAAAATATCAACGTATCATGAAGTTATTATTCATTGTAATTTCATAATTGAAATTCATAAAAATAATCAAACAAAAATTATTTAAATGCAATTGAACATGATAAAACAAATATAACTAAAATAGTCAAGTTTTCACTTTTGATACAAATACAATCGATAAGTTATTATTGTGCTTTTTTTTGAAAAAAATATTATTATGTGAAGTGTAATTAGAAATTTAGTATAACAAATTAATAATTTCTATTAGTAGACATGTATAATTATTAATATAATTGATAATATCAATTATATTATATATACTAATATGTATTATATAATACATATAACTAATAATAATATTATTATAAATTTGTAACTAATTAAATAATAATATATATATACATAATTATACACACACATTTTTTTAACGAGTAGCTGGTGGAAATGGAGTGGGGGAATACCGCCCCGTTTCTAAACTAAACGGGTGGGAGAGGAGAAAAAATCTCCCCGCCCCACTAGCCTCCTCCAGGCACCCGTTCCAATTGCCATTCCTACACAAAATCCAATATTCGTGTGGAATTCTAGTCTTCACGGTTTTAAATATGCTTTGCAAGGTTCAAGCTGACAATAATCTCGTGCATCCGATTGTGTAGAGCCATAAAAGCTTATGCTACTACAAAGTGATGGATGTATGCTGAAAGTTTTCTGCAACAGACATGTCAGATCACACTTCTGATGGATGCACACCAAGTTATTTTGAACCCCGAAAATTGAAGTCTTGCACGAAAGGCACAATCAACCAAGTGAGACAGTTACAACAGGCAATTTTTGCAGCTAAAATCATATTTGCATACAGATTAGTAGTTGTTTACCATATATACTAAATAAAGCCTACTACGTTCCGTTTGCTGTTATAAACGGGATATGCAACTCTTCGCAATATCCCTGCATCAGTTGGCCGTGCCACTAAGCCTAAAATACCATACATATGGTGGCTTGTACCCTGCTTTCACAGCTGGAGATGCTAAAAGAAACCAGCTCAAACGTTAAGTACAGAGGTCTGAAACCAACCGAAAATCCAGGAATACGAATCTGCAGTCTTAGAAAAGACAGTAACTAACTAAAGGACGTTTAACTCATTATTGGCAGAATACATCATGTAGTCATCAGTGGTTGCTAAGAAGCTCATGTCATTGGTGCCAGGGAAATCCAGAAGCAGCTGTAACGTTGATTCAGATGAATCCTCCAAGTCATTTGAGCTAGCAGAATCTGATCGAGGAGGAATATCTTCAAAAGCTGACCTGCTACTCTGGCATTTTGTATCTTCAATTTGGTTTACTCCAGCAACCGAGGGACCAGCTAAGCACAGGCTTCTTTCTGCTATGGTGCCTGAAGCTGCTGATCCACACTTAGTCGATGAAGATGCTTGAGAAATTGAACTTTCACATGCTATTTTCTGACTTTTATTGAAATTGCGAAATGCTTCTCCTACCTCAGAATTCCATATTCGTAATATATGGTCAGAATCAGACTTCCCTGTGGATGATGGTACGAAGAGCAGCGACTCCTTTGAAAGGCGTGCCTCAGCTTCGAGCCTTGCACTCTCCCATTGTGCCATGTGACGGGTGGAAGGGGATGCAGGAAGTCTTTGCAGCAGGCCACTTAGATTAGAACAGGGCTCGTGAGTCTGAGGATCAATGCCAAGGCAAATTAGGCGCTTCTTTAGATGGGTATTCCACAAGTTCTTGATCTCATTGTCAGTCCGCCCGGGTAATTGAGAAGCAATGGCAGCCCACCTAAAGACAGACAACAAGGATCCTTGAATGACTATAATCACCAGATGTTTTTAAAACAATTAACAGACAGGGTTATTCTTGTTTTGACAAGGTTATTGACTTGAAAGATTTGAGAAAAACTTCACATTGTAGGCTGCTGACATCCTAACGAACCTGAGCTGACCAGAATGAAAACTTTGCTAATTGAAAACCAGCTTATAGTAAATATATCCTAACAATCTCTTGTTTTCAGTTTGTCATCCAGATCACTGCTTTATGAGACCTGAAGCAGGCGGCCCCAAAAATATCAAGATTCTCTGTTCCTTTTGGCTGGTAATTCTTCATCTCATTAGTAGAACAGAAAAGTTATTGCTTTTGAGATGCCATGAAATCTCCCACAATTGCAAAACGAGAATAACACAGAAGACATCCTATACGACCAGCATTAATAAGAGCATATGTAGAGATTTTGTGAGATCAAACATGAAGCGAACCTATTGCCAAGGATGCCATGTAACTGTATGACAAGCTTCTCCTCATCGGGGCTAAAGGGGCCACGCTTGATGTCTGGCCGAAGATAGTTTGTCCACCGCAACCGGCAACTCTTGCCGCAACGGAGAAGACCTTAGGAGGAATACACAAAATTTCATAATCTTCGCTAACAGAAAGGACAAGATTTGTAACCAACAAACTGAGATGCATCCTCAGCACAAAGGAACAACCAGAGGCTAATTTCAAATAAACCAAGAAATTATGAAAATATAATAGGGATGAATGAGTAGATATTCACCAATGACAAGGTACATGCACAAATTTAGTTCTTGAGATATCAAAGAAGCTGAAACAATGCTCCTATTCAGCAAGAGAAAGGAAATACGAAAAGAATAACAACTCTGGGATTCATGCTAAGGCTTACCAAATGGCAAGTGCCATTCATCAGTATCACCGAAAAGAAAGTCATTTTTTCTTTTTCATACCAGCTAAAGCACGAAGCTAGTTATCCCTGTCTTTCAATATTTAGGAATTCAAAAATGAAGTATTGGGCATAGTTTCTTGTCAAACGACAATGAAGTTTTTTTGACCTACAACATTAAAGACAATCGAACTTCATTAGCATTAAGTACGACAAATAAGGTATCAAAAAGGTTGTGACTTTAACAGCTTGACACAATTGATTGTGGGGACAATTACAGGTTCGAACTAATTAGCCAGAATTAATACGGTACAGCAGCTAGTTAATAATCTGTTTACATGTGATCCGGAGAGTGCATTTTCCCCGCTTTCCTTTAGGGGTTGCTTTTTCCTATCATTTCAAGCATTGAGCAGGCAAACCACAGAATGAAAAAGCTGAAAAAATGGTAGCAGTAACTCCTCGTGTTAGTATAGCAAATGGCTCAGGCGCAAGGTAAATTGACCTGCATTCCTGGGAAGAGAGCGCCAGCTGCCATGACCATTCTTATTGATGTACTCGATAAGCTTCTCATCTTCCTCCGGAGTCCATGGCCCTTTCTTCAGCCCCATCCTCTTATCACAACAGGGTGCTCTCCCCATACTTTACTTCTGTACTTTATTCTTCCTGATCAATCTTTTTCTTATGACTCTGCGCCCTTGAGTTTCTGATCTTCTCGAATGAATGAAGGAATGATCAACAGCGGAGCGCAAGATCAAAAGCTCAAGCTTTGGTACATAAAAAAATAAACCAATGGATGAGGAAGAAGTGAATGAATGCTACACGAAAGAAGAGAAGGAAAGTGAAAAGACCTCTCCTACATCAACACACACACACACACACACACAGTAGATCATGCTAAAACTGTAGCTACAGCTGAAAAAGAGGGAGAGCTCAGCGAGTTCAAAGCCGGCTGTGGTTGCATTTAATACAATGATAAGATTTATCTGCAAATTCATCAATAGTATTCCTCCAAGCACAAATACATGCAGAGAAATAAGGGGGGAGCGGTGGTGGGGTAGACTTGAATTGCATACTAAGAGGTCAGCAGTATAAAATTGAATGAATGTTTGATTCTACAATAAATGAGTGCTCCGTCTTCTCTTTAGTCTGAGAATCTCTTTTATTTACTAGCACTACATTAATTCTTCATCTCAACTTTTGGGGTTGTTTTTGCCTAACTTCCGCTGTGCGAATGGTTAAAAAAAAAAAAAAGACTTGAATAGTTGCACCAATATACTCCACCACCAACAAGTTGGGCCATCCTGCACATAGCAGCAACGACAAGTAGTGTGTGAATGTGTGTGGGGAGAATTGATCAGAAAGAGGTATTATTAAATGCGTAGGTAGGCAGAAGAAATGCAGGGAGGGAGGGATGAAGTGAAAGGCATTTAATGCCAGATTGATATCAAAGTGAAAGGACATGGAACCATATTTATGAGATGAATCGGAAGCTGAATTCTACTCCTCCCGGTCCTGGCATCTTTTATTGATTTTTATTTGCAGCTAGGATTGATATGAACATGAATAAGGAAAGCACATGTGTAGGGTGATGGAGGAGGGGCCAAAGATAGCACACAGAGGAGGGGCATTAATGGAGTCACACAGAGGAGGAAGTACGGATTGATACACCAAATGCAGTAGGATCATAAATGAGGGGACCATATATTTGACGTCTCAAATGTTGACAAGTCTTGTATTTATCTCAAATAGTAATAGTATTATGTTTTTCCCATTCCCATACCCATGTATGTATTATGGTGGATAGCTTTGCGTGGATTGCAAAAATGTTGCATGTGCTTTCTAACTTTCTCCAGTGCCATCATTTGAAATTGAAGGAGAAGAGACGGCAAGAAGAGAAGAGGGAGGGTGGACTGAAGACTTCCACCTTCAAAACGTAAGTGACATCAATGCAGTCAAAGACCGGTGCCACAGTCTCTCTGCCTGTCTGCCTCCTCCCTATAGGTCATTTTTACTCCATCCCAGAGCCACGACTTT